GCACAGCGCAGAAGAGTGATCGCTTGACTTGCTGGCATCGAGCTGTTTCATACATTCTGGCTATGATCCCCCATTAGTAATCAAAGGAGTCAGGTGTTCCTAGAAAAGTCTACTTTTTCTTACCCTCCCGCCCCAACCTGCAGATCAGCACTACGTGAAGCTAATGTAATCGCTAGAGCACTGTCGTATTGCCTCTTGCCCCCTCCCATGTAGACCTGGTCCTCTGTGGATGCAGGGACTAGTGCATTTATGCTAGTGCCCAGCAGTCTCGGGAACTGGGGACCCCACAACACCAAACTCACTGCCATCAAGGCGATTCCGACTCATCGTGACCCTGAGACTAACTTTTTACAGGGGTGGAGCCTCCTCTTTCTATCTCAGAGGGGCTGGTGATTTTGAACTGCTGACCTTGCGGCTAGCAGACTAAAGTGTAACCACCAAGCCACCAGCGACCAGAAGACGCTTAAAAATAGTGGTTGCTTGAGTGAAGGTTGAATAAAGCGTCTCTGCAGCTAGGGCCTCTCCAGCAGCAATGGGTGGCATGTCCCTCTAGATGACCTGAATGGGAGAAGGGCATTTACCTGGGAAATTCGGTATGAGAATCCGGGGCAGCAGCATCTTTCCGCATAGTAGTTTTCAGGACGTGGCTCCCCTGCATCCTGGGAGGCTTCCATCTTAAGCCATCTCCACAATGGCTCAAGAATGGGCACACGTTTATGGAATCCCTGCTCTGAACCCCATGTCTCTGTGGGTTTCGTATTTCACTGCCGCCCTCCGGGTTCAGCGCTCCGCCCCGTGTTCTTGTAGCCTCTGTCCATGCTTTGCGTTTGGGGTGCGTCGACCCCTCTATATTGGCCATTGTTGGGTCACTCATCTGTGTTCCCCTTGGACTGTCACTCTGAGAGGCAGGAAGATGTTTCTAAGGCAGTGTTTCCGGAAGAGGTGATACCACCCCCTGGGGGACACTGGAACCAGGGGCCAGGCTGCAAAAGCAGGCAACTGCACTTTGTACTGAATTATGGGCTCTCGAACGAAAGTTTTCGTTTGTAAAGGGCGTGTGGATATATATATATAATTTGTAAAAGGAGCAGTAGGGTTTCCAAACTTGTTTGGTTTACCAACTCCTTTTCAGAAAAATAAAATTACTCAGCACCACCCCCAGGGGGCGTTGTTGCCCATTTTGGGGAAACGCTGGTCTCAGCCATTGTGCTCAGCTCCTTGTGGGCTGGAGTAGTTGTGTGTAGTATGACTGAATGAACAAGGGGATTAAGTGACGAGTGAAAGGTTATATGCATTGCTTGGATCTGCTCAGGCACTTAGTTTCAGAAGTGGCAGATAACGTTAGAGCTTGTGGCGCGGTGCACACGGTTGCTGTAAATAGCATGTCATTAAGGCCCATCAGCAGGGTTGAATGCTACTGACAAGGTGAATCCTTGATGTGCCTCTTGTTGTCCAGGGAGGTACTCCAACTGAACTCAGACGATCTTCCTAGAGCTATGGCGCCAACAGTGAAGGGCCTGGTTGGAGAAATTAGCTACAGGGGTAGGGTGTGACAGCTCTCGATCAGGCCTGGTAGGTCCGTCAGAAACATGGATGACATTTCTAGTTCTGTCCTTGGTAGAGGGTCTTTGCTTGCTGCAGAGCCGCTGGGGGCGCCGCTGTGGCTTAAGAGGGTTTAGTTCAGGAATTCATCCAGGTTTTGTTCAGGAGGGGAAGGAAAAATCGAGGGACCAATGGACGTGGCATTCGCATGCATTAGTGTACAATTCTAAAGCAGCCAGGGGCTTCTTTTGCTCCCTTTTGCTTCATAGTGGACTTAGAGAGGTTCCACTTGGGCTTTCTCAGTAGCGAACCCCCCCAAAGGTTAGTATTTCTATCCTGCCTTTAGGGAAGGGATCTAAAGATGATTTGAAAGGAAAATTGAAAACCAATGCGATAGTGTTCACAAGATGGTTTTATCTTGTGTTTGCATTATCCTGAATGTCAGAGATTAAGAACAGTATGTGACTATTTGAAGGGACAATTTTATTTTATTAATTTTTAAAAAGCATTTCATTGGGGGCTCGTACAACTCTTATCACAATTCATACATCTATCCATTGTGTCAAGCACATTTGTACATTTGTTGCCATCATCATTTTCAAAGCATTTTCTTTCTACTTGAGCCCTTGGTATCAGCTCCTCATTTTCCCCCCTCCCTCCTCTACCTTCTCTCCCTCCTCCACCTTCCCTCCCTCAGGAACCCTTGATAATTTATATATTTTTTCTTGTCTTATACTGTCCAATGTCTCCCTTTACCCACTTTTCTGTTGTCCATCTCCCTGGGAGAGGGTTATAGGTAGATTATTGTGATCGGTTTCCCCATTCTCCCCCCACCTTCCCCTTTCCTCTCCTGGTATGGCTACACTCAATATTGGTCCTGAGGGGTTTATCTGTCCTGGATTCCCTGTGTTTCCAGCTCTTATCTGTACATGTGTACATGCTATGGTCTAGGCAGATTTGTAAGGTAGAATTGGCAGGGGGGGAAGGGGAGAGGAAGCATTAAAGAACTAGAGGAAAGTTGTATGTTTCATCGGTGCTACACTGCACCCTGACCGGCTTTGTCTCTTCCTTGTGACCCTTCTGTAAAGGGATGTCCAGTAGCCTACAGATGGGCTTTGGGTCTCTACTCCACCCTCCCTCTCATTTACAATGGTATGATTTTTTGTTCTGGGTCTTTGATGCCTGATACCTCATCCCTTTGACATCTCATGATTACACAGGCTGGTGTGCTTCTTCCATGTGTGCTTTGTTGCTTCTCAGCTAGATGGTCGCTTGTTTATCTTCAAGCCTTTAAACCCCAGACACTGTATCTTTTGTTAGCCAGGCACCATCAGCTTTCTTCCCCACATTTGTTTATGTACCTGCTTTGTCTTCAGTGGTCGTGTCGGGAAGGTGAGCATCATGGAATGCCAGTTTAATAGAACAAAGTGTTCTTGCATTGAGGGAGTACTTGAGTAGAGGCCCAATGTCCATCTGCTACCTTAATACTAAACTTATACATATATGTACATGGATCTATTTCCCCATCATCATATATAGATATATTTACAGATGCACATGGCTGTATTTAGACCTCTATAAATGTCCTTTGCCTGCTAGTTCTTTCATCTATTTCCTTTTATTGAAGGGACAATTTTAATGTATTGAGGAAACTCAGTCCCCCCACCCCCATCCCCCCAGGTAACCTACACAGGTTCAAACAACAACAATGAAGCCATAAGAATTTGCTGATGTATTTTAAGGAAGGTCATTTAAATGGTCAGCTTCAAGGTAAGGTGTGAAAGCCAAAAACCTGGATGAATGTCTAAAATGTACTGGCTGACCGTGGCACCAGGTTTGGGTGATGGCAGTGGAACGTGACGTGTGAATCATTCCCTTCCTTTCTCTTCCTCAGATTTTCATCACGGTGAATTGCCTGAGCACAGATTTCTCCTCCCAGAAAGGAGTGAAAGGACTTCCTTTGATGATTCAGATTGACACCTACAGTTACAATAATCGCAGCAATAAACCCATTCACAGAGCCTATTGCCAGATCAAGGTCTTCTGCGACAAAGTGAGTAAAGGTGACCGCTTGTCATAAAGGTGTCTTTGTTATTAGATTTCACTCTAAATGACATTCCCCCTGACCGCCTTCTCTTGTTTAGTAGTGCCAGCCTATTCACCTGGTCCATCACAGTGGGAGTGGCAATCCTTTATGGTCAATTCCCATGAACCGTCTGGACAGTCCTCTGTCAACTGTAATATTTTCAGTCACTCATTTCTACCATGGGCTTTGTGATGGGTGCTGTGACTATGATCGTTAGCTGGCAGAAAAGAACAGATGAGTAGTTTGCCCCATCTAGATCCTGGTTCTGACTATGTCAGTGCCGCCTTGGGTATTTTAAGCCTCCCTGGTATCTTGTTTGGGATGTCCTTGGAACCGAAGCAAGAAAACCACCAAACACACCGCTATCGAGTCGATTCCCCTCGTGGTGCCGTGGACAGAGGGACCGGCATCTGTCGGTTTCCAGCATGGGATCTTTGTGGGGACACCAAGCCTCATGTTACTCCTATCGAGCCGCTGCTAGTTTCCAACTGCTGGCCTTGTGGTGACCAGCCCAGTGTGTAACCGCTGGGCCACCAGGGCTCCTGACACTAGAAATAGCACCTGTAAAACAAGTTAAAGGGAACATGCATTTAGATGGCGGTGAAATGTGGTCATCTTCCTGAATCCCACTATAAAAACAGACAGCAGATTAAGGTAGCAAAACTTAAAATCCCACGGGTAGGCGATTCAGATGGCATATGAACTCTGAGTGGGACCAAGCGTTGGCCATGTCAGGACCTGGGTCCGATGAACGTCTGCGAGGGAGAAAGGAGGAGGAAAGCCACAGGGTCCCGGATGTTCGGAGGCATCTTTCCTTCTGGGGAATTTGCTGGAGAACCAGCTTCAGATAAGCAGCATGAGGGTAGCGGCAATGACGTGAGGACGGAGGAGAAGCAGTCAGTCTTTATTTCCCGTACCCTACATCACGAGGGACACTAACAAGCAGATAGGGTCAAAGGAGGCGAAGAGAGAAGCCCGTTAACTGCAACTTTATGGGGATTAGAGACTTTCAGCCAAGCAGCCAATAGCCTCACCATTTCAGTAGCCCTTTAAGTCTTAGTGATTTCAGTTAGCACCACATGTCCGGTTGCCAGACGGAGCAGCACAGCCTTCTGCAGAACAGCCAGGCCATCTCCATAATACGATACTAGTCAAGCCAATATAACAAGTCTGTGTGTAGAGGAAAAGCCCATGGGGCAGGGACCTTTCGTTTGCCCACAGTCCCACCCTGGAAAAGTAGGGCTTCCGGGTGCACATTCCAAATCTGTTACTGAACTCATATCAGCCTTAAACAGAAGATACCTAAATGTAAGGTGACCAGACGTCCCACTTTTGGCGGGACAGTCCCAATTTTTGGCATTTAAAAAAGGCCCGATTTTTGGAAAGAATGCAGGACAAGCTAGGGAACAGTCTATATGGTCCATATCGACCAAATTTTTCATCAAGAACAACCTCCCCCCACCCCCCCACCCCCGTCCATGGTGTCCCGCTTTAAATCTGGTCACCTTACCCAAATGACAACTAACTGTTCACAATTTCAACCAAGAGTCAAAGTGGTCTCTAAAAACACAGCAAAATCAAGTCAATTTATATCTTTAATTCAACATACTGGCCATTAAAGAAACATTATTTTCAAATGATATGCAAATAAATGTTTTTAAATTATAGAGAACACTTAAGAATATTTCAAAGTTGTCTGTCTTTGAAGTCTCCTTTTAATTATAGATATTTCATAGCATCCCCTCCATGAGTCTTGTTGGAAGTGGAGAATTAAATCGGGAGTGAAGGAAGTAGGGAGGGAAGCAACTCAGTTTCCTAGAATTCAGTAGTTGAAATTGAAGGTAGGAAATGCCCATATGGAATTAAGGAATACTTATATGGCTATTTTTTCCAAAGTGTTGGTGTCATAAATATTAAACATGCAGTGTTGAATGGAGAGTGGTAAATTGTTGAATAACTACCTAGCATGACAGGCACTATAAAAGCTAGGAAGGGATATAAAATTATTTTGAATCCAGGACAGATAAACCCCTCAGGACCAATAATGAGAGTGGTGATACCGGGAGGGTGGAGGGAAGGTGGGTTGGAAAGGGGGAACCGACCACAAGGATCTTCATATAACCCCCTCCCTGGGGGATGGACAACAGAAAAGTGGGTGAAGGGAGACGTCAGACAGTGTAAGATATGACAAAATAATTGTAGATTATCAAGCATTCGTGAGGGAGGGAGGGGGGAAAATGAGGAGCTGATACCAAGGACTCAAGTAGAAAGCAAATGTTTTGAGAATGATGATGGCAACAAACGTACATACACAATGGATGTATGGATGGATTGTGGTAAGGGTTGTAAAATGATGAACAAAAATTTTTACATACATTTTCATTCACTGTTATTTTACTTTTACTAGGTGGGAACACAAGATGATGTTGGTTTACCTAAAACATTAGTTTTGCTAAGATAATGGATGGCCAGGGAAAAAAGCCAACTTGTTATTAGCCATGAAAAAAGACAAGAAAGCTGAAAGAATCATGTTAAACACTTTGCCAGAAAACAGAAAACAGATGGGATTTCCAATAGCTCCTGTTTTAAATCCGTTTATACTCAAGTATAAGCCGACCCGAATGTCAGCTGAAGCAACTGATTTTACCACAAAAACTGCACAAAAGCTGTGCTGAAAAACTCGGCTCATACACGAGTATATACGATTTCGATCTAATAAATAATTAGTGATGACTAAGGGGGAAGAAAGAAAAAGAAAGACGATTGGAAAATGTACTGCAATCATTAAGTGTTGATTCCAAGTAACTGAGGGAGTTTTTTGTGGGTTATTCCCATATCCTGAAGTTGAGGGTCAGGCGGGGGGTTTCAATTGCTATACAGCCAATTCTGGCTCATGGCCACCCTGTCGGGCACACTAGAACTGCACCTGTGGATTTCGGCGACTGTTCACTCTTGACAGGAGTAGAAAGTCTCATGTTTCTCCCAAGTGACAGGGTGGTTTTGAAGGGCCGACCTCACAGTTAATGGTGAGCCACCCGATGGGTCACCAGGGCTCCCAGTCGGGGGGGCTAGGAACCCGATAAGGAGGGCATCTCAGGGAGCCAGCAGGGTGCAGGAGCCTTCATCGCCGTTGCTTTCTCCAATGGACCGGGTAGACCACCTGCAGCGGCCACTGGTCATCACATTTGCAGCTCTACCATCAGCAGTCAGGAGAACCCACTCCGCTGGGCCTTTGCCCTTTTCACGCCGGGATGTAAAGCCTCCTTAGTCACTACGAGCTACTCCATTCCAAAACTGAATGTGCTCCAAACACAGCCCAGAGTTTTGAACACATGGAATTCTTCCACCGTTCGTAGTTTTCCAGCCTGATTTCCAATTAATAACCTATGAAATTACAGATGAAAATAAGGCCTTATCTAATATTTTTTTTCTTCTTATCTAATATTTTTTAGCCTCTAGTACAAGGCATAGGTTTATGCATTTTTAAAACAAAAATTTAGATCGTGTGTGTGTGTGTGTGTGTGTGTGTGCGCGCGCGCGCTTGTGATTTGTTGTAGTTGGGCCGTGACGTCAGCTCTAACTTACACATACTCCCTGTGTAATGGAACAAAATGCTTCCTGGTCTCGTGCCTAGATGTATTTACTGATATTGATACCCACATCTCTGAGAATAAGGTGGAAAGTTTGGCTACAAGATCATAGAAACCTTTATTAAGCCTATAAAAATGTGATGCTATTATTTCTCAGCATATTCTCCACCTAGGTCTACAGACGTCTGAAGGTAGTGTTTCTAGCTTTCTCTCCCTTCTCTGGTGGTATTGTTAGGTAGGCTTTGGGCCGCTAACTTCAAGATCAGCGGTTCAAACCCACCAGCCACGCCACAGGAGAGAGGCTGGGCATCTGCTCCAGTGATGCTGTACAGCTTCAGAACCCCTGTAGTTGGGTCGCGGTGAAGAATTCAGGGAAGAATTCTGTGGACTTCTATGTATAACATGCTGAAACTGCAGTTTTGGCAACCTTGAAGGACTTAAATTCTATTTCCCTTCAACGTTCTTTGCGTCGGAGGAACAAAAAGAAGTCAGAAAGGGCAAGATCGGGGCTCTGGGGTGGAAGGGGTAAGGTTTCCCCAGGAAATTCTCATAGAAAAGCCCTCTCCGCCCTCGAAGAATCAGCAGGTTCATTGTTACAACGGAAAGAAAATCCCTCAGTGAAACTTCCCAGGATTTCTCTCATCAACGCCGTTTTCAATTTTATTAAATTTCTTCCTAAATAGCCCTTAGGATCCTCCAGGGTCCTTCAAGAAAATCTATCGTGATAAACCCTTTCGAATCCCCCCCTCACCGGCCCCCACACCAAAATTGTCACCATAGCTTTCTGAGCCAACCTCTCTGCCTGGACTTGAATTGTCCCAGCAGGCAGGTCTCTTGAGAAGTCACTGTTTTGACAGAACTATTATTTTTTTCTTTCTAAAAGCCAAAAATTCAATTGAACTACACTTTTTTTCTTTTGTTACTTTAAGAGTTGATTTTTTTTTTTCAAAAGCTTCAGGAGGAAAAGATATTCTTGGAAAGTCATGTTCAAGGAAAGGGTTCTCTGTTTAAACTGAATGCACAAGAGTGCCTCGGCCCACGGTGAATGACGTGCAAACTGAGCTTCTCTCAAGGGTGTGCAGATACTGCTCTGCCAGCCTACTCTCTGGGCATGGCATGTGACTGCTTACGTAGTGTGGCACTAACACTAGGTGCTTTTTGATATCCTTTGGCCTTGGCCTATCAGAGAATGTGTCTGAGCTAGTAAGCAATCTGCATTGAACACATACAAAGGGGCTCAGAAGTTCATTCAACAATGGAATTAATAGATCATGGAATTTCTTCCCAAACTTTTTGAAACCTGTTCTTCTAAACCTTACAACAGATGAATTCTGGACCCCTTCCTCCTAGAAATAGCCTAGGATGAAACCCTAGTTCAGAAGTGAAATTGCTGGATACAGCTTGGGCTGTTCTTTAGTTGGGTTGTTGATTCATATCGGTCGAGAATAAAGATCTAGAGCTCTGTTTCTATTTACCACTCTGTTCTTCGGGTCTCCAAACACATAGGAAAATGCCTTACTTGGACCCAACCCCAAGTGAATGACAGCTCCCCTTACAATCTCTGGTATTTGGAGAGCTTTTTGCTCAGGTTGTACATCCATTGGAACAAAGCAGTATTCGTGCACTCAACACTTTGTTTTCTGGAAGCATTGCCTGTTATCAAGGTGTTGGCCAAAAAAATAAAATGCTACAAAACTGTGGTATGTTTTCTATATTGGTTAAAATTATCTTGAAGAAATTTCCAAATGTTACCTTCCTCTTGCTAAGAATTTCCCTGGTTTGTAACCACCGATGGCAATTCAAAACTTCACGGGAGGTACTATAAATAATGATTCCCTTTGACAGTTACGTTTTTGATCTGTACATTGCATATTTAAGTTACCTGGTTAAAAAGACAGTAACTGCTCCTCATAGAACTCTCCAGGCATCTATACATATAAGTGCCACACCTGCACGTGTGCATGCACCATGCGCGCACACACACACACACACACACACACACAATTTTTGTGTCTTCTTCTGTAAATTGCCTATTTCATGACTTGAGTCCATTTTCAAATTAATGCTAGTAGAGTTGTACATTTGAATTGTTATTCACACATTAAGAATTTGACGTGATATGGTATTTTTTTTGAAACATTCTAATCAATCTCTATTGATTTTAACTTTGTTGACTTATTTTGTATAGAGAAGGGTTATAATTTTCTATTGTCAAAACTATATCTTTGTGTGTGTCACTTGCGGTTGTCTGTAAAAGGTTAGAGGACTGTGTCAGGGTCAACCCTGTGCACGTGAGCCTCACATCGGGGAGAGCACGTGAGCTGGGGCTGTCTGGCTGAGCATCATCTGTTTAGGAAGTCAGGGCACGTGGAAACAGATGAAATCTCCATGGCTAGCGTCCCCCATGGAGAAAGCAAGGAATAAGAAAACCTTTTACACACAGTGTCTGTATCTGTATAGGAAGAACATATATGAGAACAAAGAACATGAGAGAGCAAAGCTAGTCCACAGAAGAAGCAGGGAATCTTCAAAGTCAAGGAAGGAAAGAGATACAAGGACACGGTCCATCGTGGAGCAGGAGGGGTGTGTGTGTGGAAATTTGGCTAGAAGAACCCCTAGAAACTTAAAGACAACAGAGGAGCCAAAAGGACTGATTGAGCCTCATCTCTAAGAACATAAATTAAAAATGAAAAGACACAACCCTAATCTATGGCCATCGTCTATTCCGACTCTTAGTGACCCTAGGGGCAGAGGAGCCCTGCTCCCTGGGGTTTCCAAGGCTGTACGTCTTTATGGACACAGACAGGCGCATCTTTCTCCAGCAGAGCAGTTCATGGATTCAAACTGCCCACCATGTACCTGGAGCACATCAGTAGTACAGCTATAGGAAGAATGAGACCATAGCAAAGAGAATGACTAGGGCTACCCCAGGAGGAGGCAAAGGTAAACTGTTTTGATTATTACAACAAAAACAAAAGTCACCCTTGAGTGTTCCAAGTGAACTTACATCCTGTCTCATTTCACCACCGCCATGTTTTTGCTTTTCTTTAGTTCCATAGCAACAGCCAAAGGAAAGCTTTTCTAGGGAATGGACATTCAGGGTTGGAGGCCTGGTAGGGTAGTGGCTACGCATTGTGCTGTGATCTGCAAGGTCAGCAGTTCGAAACCCTCAGGAAAAAGATAGGCTTTCTACTCCCATAAAGACTTACAGTCTCATAAACCCACAGGGGTAGTTCTACCCTCCTTTATAGGGCGGCTAGGAGCCAGCATCGGCTTGATGGTAGTGAGTGAGACAGTCAGTGTTAATGCCACTCCACGCGTAGGAATGAGGCTAACGAGTCAAAGCTTCATCATTGGGCATTTTGTGGAACTCATGAAGGTGAACTGGATCGGCTCTGAATTGGTTTTGTGCTGACGGTCTTTGTATGTGTTCCCATAGTAGATCTGATGTTGTCTCTATTTGTTTTTCCTGTTAGGGAGCAGAAAGAAAAATTCGAGATGAAGAGAGGAAACAGAACAGGAAGAAAGGGAAGGGCCAGGTCCCCCAAACCCAATGCAACAACTGTGAGTTTCCTGGGGGTGACTTGCCCTACTGGGGGGCAGTGTTGCACCCCAACTGGCCACTGGGAGAACAATGGGAAAGAACAGGATTGCAGCTTAATGCAGTCTGCAGAGGGTGGCGGCCTTCTTAGCGGGGCGGTGAGACTGGGCGGATGGTGCCTGTGAAGAGCAAACAGAATCCCACGGTCAGAGTATGTGCACCAGGAGGGACCTTGTGATCTCATGGGGATCAATATCCTTAGATGGATCAGGAAAGTAGGGTGCCTAGTCTGGGAGGGCAAGAGGGGACCTCTCGATTTCTGTCAGTTCAGTGGGAGATGGGGGGGGGTGTGTCCAAGTGTGCCCATATCTTGGTATTTAGAAAGTTCCCTCTGATTAATGGACTTTGTGATCCCATTCAGCCTCTGATGGGAAACTGGCTGCGATACCTTTACAGAAGAAAAGTGACATCACCTTCTTCAAAACGATGCCTGATCTACACTCACAGCCGGTGCTCTTCATTCCGGACGTCCACTTTGCCAACCTGCAGAGGACCGGACAGGTAGGAGATGCCTGCTGACAGCCGCCCGCCGCCCATCTGCAGGGGAGGGAGAGTGTCTTCAGTCAGCGCTGACTTTAAACACCAGACCAGCATTCCATCCTCCGGACAAAATGTCAAGGTCATTTCTTACAGAAGATAGGTTGTTGAGGTTCTCAGGAGCAGACCGTGGTGGGCGAAGGGAGAGAAGAGAGTGAGCTGATGCTGTTTGTGTTGACAAAGCCATGAAAGAGGAAGGAATTCTCACTTGGGATTAGCCTGATGTGACAGAGCTCCACCCACTGGTGGGAAAAAATTGAGGCTCACCGATAGCTTGTCTCTCTGGCTCATAGTGACCCTCTAGGACAGGGTAGAAATGCCCCTGCGGGTTTCTGAGGATGTAACTCTTCACAGGAGTAGAAAACCTCATCTTTCTCCCATAGAACAGTTGGTGGTTTTGAACAGCTGACCTTGTGGTTAGCAGCTCAATGTATAACCTACTACACTACCAGGGCTCAACCAAAAACTCACCATACTTGAGATGATTTCCATTCACAGCAAGCCCCTGTAGGACAGAGTAGAATCTCTACATAGCATTTCAACACTGTGGATCTTTATGGGGAGAGACTGCCTCATCTTTCTCCCACAAAGCAGGTAGTAGATTTGAATTGCTGACCTTACAGTGATCAGCCCAACACTTAACCCATTACATCACAAAATCCATTGTTGCGGAGTTAAATTTCGACTCACAGTGAACCTATAGGACAGAGTAGAACTGCCCCCTTGGGTTTCCAAGGCTGGACTCTACAGAAGCAAGCAGCCTCCTCTTTCTCTCACAGAGTAGATAGTGGGTTCAAACCACTGACCATTTCAACCAGTTAACAGGTGAATGCTTTTCCATGACTCCACTGGGACTCCCTTTAGAGTTGCACAAGGGGAGAGCCCACTTTGATTCCATGAGACCTCATCAATATCTTTCCCCACAGAAAACCAACAGTCCCCTCTGCATGTGTCAGTAATTCCATGCCAAGAGAAAAATGAGCTTCTAGAAAAGCTCTTTGAACAATTCCTGTCTTGTTGGTGTATGTAGAAGTGGCATGAACACATTAAGACTACAATCCCGTAACTCTCCAATGGTGAACTGGTTATGGCAGGGCAAGTTGACAGAAGACTGTACAGCATTTAGCTTATACTGATATCAGTCTCGCGTCCTCACTTGGGCTCCTGTCCCTATCCAACAAGGAAGGCCAGATGGGGATGCTGACTTCCCACCCTGTGGCAGTGGGGACAGTAGCAAGGATAAGGATTGGCTACAGAAGAAGAGTTGAAGCAGCAGAGTACCAATTGGTGTCCCTGCTGGGACCCCCAAGTATCCACCTGAACGAAGAGCACTGTCAGACTGAGAGCACTGGGTGGTGCGGATCACCCCTTTCATCACCAGAATTGAGCTTTCAGAACTCTGGCATTGGCTAGTTTTCTTTTAAACCCAAGCCCCTTGAGGAAAGATCTGTTTTGAGAAATAGGGACGTCCACGCATCCTCAGGGCTGTCGTCCGTTCTGAGTACCCAGCTACTCACTGGAGTGGACCTTTGTCTACCGGAGTAGAACTCAGTGTTGGGCTTTACTTCTCTTTCCTGAGGAGGCTCGGTCCCCAGTCCTCGCGGCCTTGTTTCTTGTGTTTAAGACTCCACCTGGCAGCAAAATAGCCACACACCTGTTTCTGCTGCAAACACACGGAGGGCTCCCATCTTGCCCTGCTTGTTTGATAGGAACAGAGACCCGGGTGGGAAAGCAAGATGGAGCAAGATCTGAGCACCAATAGCTCGTTTTGGTGCTCAATTCCCACGAAAGGGGGTGCCCGGCTTGTGGGTCTATAGCCCTTGCCCTGTGGGATTTCACGGAACTTCCAGGAGAGGGGCTGATTGAGTTCAACTGTTCTCAGGGGTCGCCTGTCACCATTGTGACTTCAGTTCCGCGTCAGAAACTGACAGTCTGACCCGTTCTCTTGGCAAGCTTGCTCTGAGATAGACAACGAGCCTGACCCGTTCTCTTGGCAAGCTTGCTCTGAGATAGACAACATTAAATGAATCCTCCAAAATGACCCAGCCTTGTGCCCTCACTCGCCCCCACATGCCCCGAGTTCTGGGCTTGTGACTCCGTTAGAGGCAGAGTTCAGCCTTCCTTGGTCGATGGGTGCTGTCTGCAGGGGAAAGAGGGGTGCTTTCAGCATCCTCCCTTGGACGACCTTCGAAGGTCCCACAATCACAGTAGAAGCCTGCCCTTCTAGAGCCCTGCAGCCGAGCCCTCCCTGCCTCTGATTCTGAGACCAGGGAACCAGTGTGGGATGTCAGCCTGGAGCTGCTAGTGGCCAAAGAGCACACGAACTGTGCTCGGAACAGCCCGTGACTGCCTTGTGCTTGGCCCACTTGCACAGCCGAATGAAACCAGCTGGCTGGGCCTTCTCACAGGCTGCCCCCCCCCAGACAAGAGAGCTTAGAAAAGGGGAGGAGAGACAGCCTGGGTTGCCACATTAGAAGCGAGGACGGGGGCAGGGATGATGGGCCAACTTTAACATGCACAAGAGCCAGCAGTGGCGGGCCATATGAAGGGGTGTTTTCATCACGAGAAGAAGGAAGGCAAGCCACGGCAGGTGCTGGGCCTTGCCGAAGGCAGCCATGCGGACGGGGAGCCCTGCGCTCACAGACAGTTGGCCCGATAAGCAAGAAACGCACGGACTCGCTTGTGCTTACTTCCTAGTCTGCAGTCAGCAGGTTCCCACGAAAGCCCACGCTGACTTTCCTGAATGGCTGCTCTTTCCCCGGGGCGTGGCTCCACCTTGAGCGCAGAGAAGGCCTTGGCGTTGGGCGCATGCAGAGGCCCACCCTTGAGAGATTCTCATTGATGCCAGATTTGAAGCAACACATCAGCCGCAGGTGCTTGATGGCAAGCATCTGGGTCCCCAGCCATCGAAGAGGCTGCTCTACCACTTTCGGGCAGTGCATTGTCTGGCCCAGGCTCTGTCTTCTGCGGGTCAGTCCATGGGCTTCTAACCCCACGGGATTCTAACCGGACCTCCCTGCTCCAGGACGCCCCGGGACGGGAGTTCAGGGGGTCTCGCTGGGGAAGAGCGTCACCACAGGGACGCTCCCTGCCTTCTGTTGGGAGAAGTGAAGCCCTCCAGGAGGCAGTGGGCCTGAAAAAACACACAAAGCGGAAAAAAGCGCTAGTGGAAATCGGAGCTCAGGACTAGAGTGAGTCATTGTGAAGAGTTCCAGGTAATCAGAGTCTGGTTATGTAACTAGGTCTAGCTTGGCAGCCGTCCAAGAGCCTCTGCCGACAACGGGGTGGGGTGGGGAGTGGGGTGGGGGTGGGGGGTGGGGGTTGTCGTGGGTCCCGCCGGCACAGCTGCTTCTTGTCTCCCAGGCCGGCCGGGCGGCGGCAGTGGCCAAACATACTCGAATTAGAGGCTGCTTTTGAAGTGAATGTGTGTTGTTCTGCTCCTGAAGACAGTGCGGAGGCACACAAGGAAAACACACCACAATTCGTTCTGTACGCTCCCTGGGCCGGGAGGACCTACCTATAGAGCAGACCCCTCTGGGTTCTCCACAGGCGGTTTCATACCAAGTTGACCGAAGCTGATTAGTGGCGCCAGGGGCTCCGAGGGGCAGATGGGAGGAGGGGAAACCAGGAACCGCTGAGCTCCTGTTAAGGGGCCTTGGATCATTTGGAGTCACATATTGGTGATGGTTGAACAAAGTGACAATTATGCGTGTGAAGAATGTTGACATAGCAAGTGATTTGTTACTATGTGTGTGTGCGTGTGTGTATAGACACCCACTTCCAATGAGTGCTGCCAACTCACTGTGATCCTAAAGGACAAAGTAGAACTGCCCCTGCAGCATTTCTAAGATTGCAACTCTTTATGAGAGTAGAACATTCTGCCTTTGTCCCACAGAGTGGCTCGTGGTTTTGAACTGCTGACCTTGTGGATCTCAATACAACTTGTAACTGCTAACTACCAGGGCTTGCCCTAAACCCACTGCCATGGAGTGGATTCTGACTCACAGCCACCTTAAATAGAGTCTCCAAGGTTATACATCTTTACGTGAGCAGACAGCCTCATCTTTCTCTTGTGGGGTGGATGGTGGATTTGAACCATGACCTTGTGGTTAGCAGTCCAACACTTATCTGACAGTGCTACCAGGGTGACATGTATACATCTATGTTTTTCAGTTCTTATATACATAACATACATGTATATATATGCACGTTACATGTAGAGACATGTCTATAATATATACATGTATGTATAGAAATAGACAATACTAATCAAGGATGTTTCATTATTTCTCTTTGATTATGATTTTTATTGACCTGGCCTGCCTTCTTGCTAACCGCAATGAAAACTCTATCCCCAGAGACTCCCCTTCTGGTCAAGAACTTTCTAGAGTCGAAGGGCCTTTCCAGCCCCAGAGTGTTGACGTGCCAACTTCTGTGGCTGTGTGAAGTCAGGTACCCACGGTCCTCTGATGCATAACTGGGGAGTCTGAGGTGACTGCCAGACTGCCACAGGGTCCTCTTGCTCCCCAAGGGGCCCACGTGGGACCGTGTGCTCACAGACTCTTCCCTGAGAAGCCACCTGGGAGCCTTTGGAACAATGAATTTTAGATCCGGCCAAAAGACTCTTCATATAAGAACAAGATTTGACTTAGGGACACAGACCATCTGATCAGTCGCCTTTAGCCCGAGTTGTCAATTTTCTTATCATGAGGAGGGTGAATGTACATTTCCTTATACACACAGCCTCTTTTTGCCCCCCCCTCGCCCCTTTTTAAGAGACAGTGACAGGGTATGTCTGTGATAGGAATGCTTGTGTGCTGTGCAAAATATGTCCATTTCCATTCTCTGAGCTGCAGCCAACCTGTTGCTTTATTTCACAGGTGTATTACAACACGGATGATGAACGAGAAGGGTAAGACACCCAGTTCCTTCATTTCAACGCCTCGAGTCAGCCCATGTCAACAGAATGGCTCCTGGGGTCCTGGGCTCCATGGGGCAGAGAGTGGGACCTTTCTCTGATCCAGGGCTCAGAGTTGAGGGAGGCTTGATTCTTGGGACTCTCTGGGAGGGGGGCTGGAGGACCCCATTCTCCTCTGTGACTCTCTTTCCCCCTTTCCTTCCTGTGTTCTGCCTTTGAATATCTAGTTTTCTAGTTTTTCTCAGGCATGCATCTCAGCAACTCCATCTCTTTACCAACAATTCAGTCATTTTGTAATCTGCCTGATAAACTCATTGCCACGCATCTTTTACCCCAACACAAGAGCTATCTGAGCTCAAAGGAAGAGCTATTACCGCCTGGACCATGCATACATAACTTTTGTTACCCTGACTTTTGGGGAGGGGGTGTGCCAGTGGGGAGGGTGGTTTGAATGGAGCTGGGAAAGGGGGCGGATCTTTTCACCTTGCTCTAGGGTTTTGGGTAAGAAGATGGAGATCTCCTTGTCTTCCTCCTCAAGTTTCTGGATAGCGGCCATGGGTGATGACCCCTTCTTGGCAGAGTAGGCACCCCCAGCTGAATGTGGTCCTTGATTTTTCCAGGAGTTGCCAAATCTTCAAAGCACTTACCCTCCATTCACTCACGTTTAGACTCACATCCTTCTGGAGCCAAAGGGGACCTTCAAGGCTCCCTCGCTGGACTTATGTCTAGGCCTGTGGCACCTGTATGCATCCTTGGTAGGTGTTTATCCAGCTTCTACTGGAATCTTCTCAGTGACGGGGCGCTCACTGCCTGTGAGATAGCTCACTGCACTGTTGGACAACTATAGATCTTAGAACATCATTGTGTCTGAGCTACTGCCCTACTTCAACCTAACAGCTCTCGTTCTGCTCTCTAGATAAGTTTTATCCTTCGGCTGTCATTAAAACCCCCTCTTTGTGCTTGCAATGGTTCTCGGTAAAGCATAGCAGCATTTTAATTGTACCCAGTTTATTTACAGTCCTCTTAAAATTGATTCTCAGAAATAAACATGTGTTCTGAGCTGATATATTGGGATCATATCTTTTTACAAGCTAAGTGTTATTCCTTTAATTAAATCTTGAAATACATTCACATTTCAACATCTATGCTTGCATTACATTTTAGTTAACTGAAAGCTACATGTATATTTTAAAAAAATATTTTAAGGACAGTTTTATTGGCATATAATTCAGTTATCATATAAGGCAATAGTTTAATCATATCAAGAAAAGTTGTACAATCAGCACCACATCAGTTTTAGCACATTTTCTTCAATGTGTACAATCTTTGTTGTTAGCTCCCCATTTTCTCCCAGCCTCCCTTGCCATGCCCCCAAGGAAACATTAATCCAATTAATGTCTCTATAGATTTACCTATCCTGGATTTCACATACAGAAAAACTGTTTTTAAAAAACTAACAACAGTAACAAGGTAACACAGATAAAAACCTCAATGGAAAAGAAAGCAGAAAATATTGATACTATGCAGTAATATTTTTTAAATCTTTTAAACTGCAGTCAAACCAAGTGTCCCCACTTCTTACGTAATTGACCCACTTCCCTGTAAACCCTTACACAGTGACATGAATTAGATGGAGCAGATAACACTGAGCTCCTGGTCTGGAGCAGGGATTGGCAGACTACAGCCCAAAGGTCAAATCAGACTCATGACCTGCCAGGTTACAGTGTGCAAGCAAAGAATGGTATCTCAGTTTTTATTGACTATTTTTGTTTTGTTTTGTTTAAATCATTTTATTGGGGCTCGTACAACTCTTATCACAATCCATCCATCCATCCATCCATCCATTGTGTCAAGCATATTTGTACATCTGTTGCCATCATCATTCTCAAAACATTTGCTTTCTACCGGAACCCTTGGCATCCGCTCCTCATTTTTCCCCCTCCCTCCTCACCCCCATCCCTCATAAACTCTTGATAATTTATAAATTATTGTTATTTTGTCATGTCTTACACTGTCCGACATCTCCCTTCACCCACTTTTCTGTTATTAATCCCCCAGGGATGAGGTTATATGCAGATCCTTGTAATCAGTCCCCCCTTTCTACCCCACCCTTCCTCCACCCTCCCGGTATCACCACTCTCACCACTGGTCCTGAAGGGATCATCCATCCTGGATTCCCTGTGTTTCCAGTTCTATCTTTTTTTTTTTTAAATCATTTTATTAGAGGCACATACAACTATCATCACAATCCACTCATACACCAATTGTGTAAAGAATATTTGTACATTTGTTGCCATCATCACTCTCAAAACATTTGCTCTCCATTTAAGCCCCTGGCATCAGCTCCTCATTTCTCCCCCTCCCTCCCCGTTCCCCCCTCTCTCATAAACTCTTGATAATTTATAAATTATTGTTATTTTGTCATGTCTTACACTGTCCGACATCTCCCTTCACCCACTTTTCTGTTATTAATCCCCCAGGAAGGAGGTTATATGTAGATCCTTGTAATCTGTTCCCCCTTTCTCCCTCACCTTCCCTCCACCCTCCGGCATCACCACTCTCACCACTGGTCCTGAAGGGATCATCCGCCCAGGATTCCCTGTGTTTCCAGTTCCTATCTGGTATAGCTGGATTTGTAAGGTAGAATTGGGATCATGATAGTGGTGGGGAGGAAATATTTAAGAACTAAAGGAAAGTTGTATGTTTCATTGGTGCTACACTGCCCCCTAACTGGCTGGTCTCCTCCTGAGACCCTTCTGTAAGGGGATGTACAGTTGCCTACAGATTGGCTTTGGGTCCCCAATCTGTACTCCCCCCCATCCACAATGATATGACTTTTTGTTCTTTGATGCTTGATACCTCATCCCTTCAACACCTCGTGATCACACAAGCTGGTGTGCTTCTTCCGTGTGGGCTTTGTTGCTTCTGAGCTTGTTAATCTTCACGCCTTTAAGACCCCAGACACTATATCTTTTGATAGCCGGGCACCATCAGCTTTCTTCACCACATTTGCTTATGGGCCCTTTTGTCTTCAGCGATCATGTATTGACTGTATTTTAAAATGTATTCATTTATGGCAAATTAGGAGGAGGGTTATATTTTGGATCATCAACTTGGTATTCAATAATTTAATTTACTTATCAACACCCCTCAAAAATCCACCCTTCACCCTCACCTTGATGACGTGTCTCCTTCTTGTGGGTCACTATCATCCTTCACACCCAAGGTAGCACCGGTCCCCTGTCCAACCGGTTTCTCTTCCCTGCCTTGTGCTCCCGCCCATGACAGTCTCCAAAGTCTGTTCCCTTTGGCATGAACATTTCTCTGTTCGCTTTTTATATGTATTCTTTCACTTACATTAGGTGTGTCATACCATGTTTGTCCTTTGGTGACAGAATCCTTTCATTTAGCATGCTGTTCTACGTCATGAAGCACCTCATGGTTTGGCCCTTGTTTTGTTGTTGTTGTTGTTATTGTTTTTTTTAAGCAATGCACGGCATTCTATTGTTTGTATGTTCACCTTTACTTCTACGGATGGGCATGTAGGTTGTTTGCACCGTCTTGCTATTGCGAACAGTGCTGCACTGAACATGGGTGTGCACATGTCTGTTCGAGCTTTGACTCACGTCTGCAGCATGTGCACCCAGCAGAGGGCATGGAGAACGCATGCCATTTCCATCCCCTGCTGTTGGAAGGGACGCCATAGCTCTCGCCACGGTGCTTGTATTTACTGACCGTCCCACCAGCAGTGTGTGGTGGCTCCCATCTCTTGGCAGCCTCCCCGTTAATTGTCCTTTTCCATTTGATTGAACTTGGCTATCAGTGTCCGTGGCAGGTCGTAGGTCACTGTTGTTTAGGTATTTATGTTTTTAAATGGCAGAAGAAAAACGCTGCACAACATGTGAAAATGATATGGAACTCAAGGGTCGGAAAATAAAGTCCAATTGGACACAGCTATGATCATCTGTTTATGCAGTGTGGGTGGCTGCTGCCATGCCGTGATAGCAGACTTGAGTACTTCCAGAAGAGACCAGATGGCCTGAAGAGCCTCACAGAGTTGTTATCAGGCCCACTAATGAGCACATTTGCCATCATCCTTCTTTCCTGGAGAAAGACTCCCAGGAATCCAATGATTAGGACGGAACCTTGTCTGGTACCCAGGTGCACTTACCACCTGGCCTTGCTGACTTGGCTTCTAAATATTTCAAACATCTAACAGGCTGCTCTTTTTTCCCTGGCATTTTGGTAATGTTTTTCCAGCAGCTGGGATGAGCAGAAATGATTTGTGCTCTCAATTCGAATCTGTTCCTGACATCTTTCACAAGAGACAGTGTCAGGTGATGGCAAGAACATTGGCCCCGAGCTTTAGAAGGCCAGATTCCGTTTTTTCCATTTTATTTTATTTTTTTAATTAATCATTTTATTGGGCGCTCTTACAGATATTGTAACAATTCATACTTAGATTAGATCAAACATAATTGTACAATTGCTGCCACTATCCGTTTCATAACACTTCCTTCTTGAACTCCTTGATATCATCTCCTCTTTATGCCCTCCCTCCCCTCCCCTACCACTCAGGGACCCTGATTATAATATTATATATTGTTGTTATTACCTAGCCGTGTCTTACATCCTTCAATGTATCCTTTCACCTGCACTTCTGTCGTTTGTTCCCCTGTGTGGAGTTATACAGTCCTCATTGCTACCCATTGCCTCCATTTTATTTATTTATTTTTCCTTCTTTTAGGTATATATTTCCTTTTTTATAAAATCATTTTACTGGGGGCTTGTAAAACTTATCACAATCCATACATCCATCCATTGTATGCCAAGCACATTTGTACATTTGTTGTCCTCATCATTCCCCAAACATTTGCTTTCTACTTGAGCCCTTGGAATCAGCTCCTCATTTTTACCCCTCC